GAGGACATACAATCAATCAACAAGTACATGAAAAAATGCTCACCATCTCTAGCAGTCAGAGAAATGCAAATCAAAACCACCCTAAGATACCATCTCACTCCAGTAAGATTGGCAGCCATTATGAAGTCAAACAAAAACAAGTGCTGGCGAGGATGTGGGGAAAAGGGTACACTTGTACATTGCTGGTGGGACTGCAAATTGGTGCAGCCAATTTGGAAAGCAGTATGGAGATTTCTTGGAAAGCTGGGAATGGAGCCACCATTTGACCCAGCTATTCCCCTTCTCAGTCTATTCCCTAAAGACCTAAAAAGAGTATGCTACAGGGACACTGCTACATCGATGTTCATAGCAGCACAATTCACAATAGCAAGACTGTGGAACCAACCTAGATGCCCTTCAATAGACGAATGGATAAAAAAAATGTGGCATTTATACACAATGGAGTATTACTCTGCATTAAAAAATGACAAAATCATAGAATTTGCAGGGAAATGGATGGCACTAGAGCAGATTATGCTAAGTGAAGCTAGCCAATCCCTAAAAAACAAATGCCAAATGTCTTCTTTGATATAAGGAGAGTGACTAAGAACAGAGTAGGGACGAAGAGCATGAGAAGAAGATTAACATTAAACAGGGATGAGAGGTGGGAGGGAAAGGGAGAGAGAAGGGAAATTGCATGGAAATGGAAGGAGACCCTCAGGGTTATACAAAATTACATAGAAGAGGAAGTGTGGGGTAAGGGAAAAAAAAACAAGGGGGAGAAATGAATTACAGTAGATGGGGTAGAGAGAGAAGAGGGGAGGGGAGGGGGGATAGCAGAGGATAGGAAAGGCAGCAGAACACAACAGACACTAGTATGGCAATATGTAAATCAGTGGATGTGTTACCGATGTGATTCTGCAATCTGTATACGGGGTAAAAATGGGAGTTCATAACCCACTTGAATCAAAGTGTGAAATATGATATATCAAGAACTATGTAATGTTTTGAACAACCAACAATAAAAATTTTTAAAAAAATAAAATAAAACCTAAAAAAAAAAAAGAAAATAGCCAATTGCAAGATATGTTATGTATACTCAGAAAACCCTGAATATAAAAGAAATTATTTGTACCCATTTAGGAAACTTACTCCCTTTTATTCTGGCAATCAGACTTACTTTTAAGTTAGAGAGACCCATTATTAGGCTGCTTGGGGTTCAGCAGAAGCACCCCAGCTCTTGTCTATTTAAAGGGATTAGCTCATAAAGTAATATGATTAGTTTTAGCATTCCTTAAAACTCCATCTGGGCAATTTCTCATAGTACAGAATTATAATCCAGTGTCCTAAAATCTGGGATGTCTTTTTACCATTAATCTGGGGTAAGTCCGTAAATTATATGATTCAGGGTAGGAAAGACAGTGGAATGAGATGGACATCATTACCTAAGTACATGTATGAAGACATGAATGGTGTGACTCTACTTTGTGTACAACCAGAGACATGAAAAAATTGTGCTCTATATGTGTAATATGAATTGAGTTGCATTCTGCTCTCACATATAACAAATTAGAATAAATTTTAAAAAATTATGTGATTCAGAAGTAGTCTGAGAATCCATAAAAATTATAAGCATCTTGCAAGGACTGAATTGACATTTTAAGAGACAAATCCACAATTCTCCACTCTCCCAGCAATGGAGAGGTTGTAGCACTATGCTGGGTGGGTATCAGGAGATAACAGAGCAGCAGGCATTCGGGATCATTGCTAATGCACAGGACTTTAGCAAGAGGTGAGAAACAAGAACTCAAAAAATAATTTACCATAGATATTAAAATTTACCATAGATATTAAAATCTGGGATTGGATACAAAAAGGTTGGAAACTTATTGAAGCTGTAAGACACAATCATTTCGTTTTAACACTGATTAGGCACCCATGTTTGCTTGGCACTTAATCCCGTCTAAATTCCAGGAACGTGCAGACCAACAGAGTGTGAATATGGTCTTCTGTTGGACTGACCAACCAAAGAAACCATCAGAAGCAAAAGTTGGGCCAGTCAGAAAACAAAGTACAGGAAGCTAGTTGGTGTCTTACCGCAGAGTGTGCTGTTCTGAGATGGTATGGAGTCAGTTCCTGTGGTTGAGCCTTCCTGGACCACAGGCAATTAGTCATTGCTTCCTCCATTTCTGCAGTTCTCTGTTCTTACCTCTACTGTAGAACTTATCCTGCTTTTCCCTAGATTGTATTCCCATTCCCTAGCACAAAGGCTGGAACAGAGGAAGTAACTAACAAATATGTGTGTGTTTTTTGTTTGTTTGTTTTTTGGCGGGATTCTAGGGAGTGAACCCAGGGGTGCTTAACCTCTGAGCCACATCCCCAGCCTTTTTCTGTATTTTATTTAGAGACAGGGTCTCATTGAGTGACTCAGGGCCTCACTAAGTTGCTGAGGCTGGCTTTGAATTCACAATTCTCCTGCCTCAGCCTCGTGAGCCCCTGGGATTACAGGCATGTGCCACCACTCTAGGCACAAATGTGCTTTAATAGAATATTAGATTAAACAAATAAAAAGGTGAACAACCTGCCTAGTTTGGCACCTGCCTTGTTTGGCACTTTAGGGCCATAGGCTTGCCCTACTGTATTAGAAAAGGCTATTCTTGGACACAGGGTTGAGTTGGAATGAAACAGATTCTTCACTCATAAAACCCTCCCTCGATCCCTTCAATATGTAACCTGATGTAACACAGCAGAACTTTATAACTGTATTACTACATTAATGAATATTCTAATGTAATGATTTTATGTATCAAGAAACCTATGGGAAATAATTTTTTGTTTTTTTCTTGTGGAACTAGGGATTGAACCCAGGGCCTGACAGCTCACTATACCAGTGAGCTACATCGCAGGCCCAAAATAAGTCTTTTCACTGAAGTAAAAATTCATTTATTCATTGCATGTTTCTTAAGGGCAAAAGTGGGAGGGAGCATATTTAAGGGAAAATAAAAGACTTTAAAAAATGGATACCCAATGCATCTCATCTTTATATTCAATGGTTTTCCTACCCACTCAATGATGGGATTTAGCTCTCATTTCTTTCTTTCTCTCTCTCTCTCTGCCCCCCCCCCCCCACACACACACACGCTGTGTTACTTTAGGCTCATTAACAGGTGCTTTTCAGCTACTTCCTTTTTCTAAAACAAGAAGCATTGAGTCAGCGATTTAGCCAGAGGGAAATCTCTAAGCAATGACTATTAATAATGAAGACTTACCAATGTTGGCAAAATCCATTTCCCCTTTACAAGATGAAGAGAGCAACTTACTGAAAGTTCATATCACTCACAAAGTCAAAGAGATTTTTTTGGGGGGAAAAATGCTTCTAGAAGGCTTGATTTAGTTAAAATTTAGATCAGATATGTGGGGACATGTCCCAGCATTCTGTATGTTGGCTATTAACAGAGCCAACTTCTATTTCAAGATAAATACTAACAGAGAAATTAATATGTGTTAAGTGTCTACTGTATTCTAAGTATTGTGATAAGCTCTTGTGTAAAGTTGTCATTTGACCCCAACAATCCTGCAAATGAAGCTAGGAGTGCAGACGTGGCCTTTCTGCCTCTGAGGTCATGCTCCTTAACTGTTAGTTTCAACTGTCTCCATCTGAGATCTCTAACTCAGGATAAAGGCAGGTAAAACACAGATGGAGTCTCAATTTTGAAGGACTGTGTTCCACAAATTTCCCATTGAGAAAAGAAAAGAAAGAGAGAATGTCATTTCTCTAGATGTTCCAGAAATAGGATTCAGGGTTTGGGACTGAATGTCAGACAACCTACTACATATTTCCTCCTTTTGCTTACATTCCAAGGCATTGGTTCATCCCTGAAAGACAGAGGCATTTAAACTATCTCCCTGACAACTCATTCTGGCCCAAACTGCCACATTCACTTGCAACAAGAAGACTGTACAGTGGTTCAGAGTGACCCAGTTAAGAGCAGTCCCATTAAAGCTATTAAGTGTGGTTTCTTTTTCAGTGAGGTCATCCTGCTTAATCCCTGGGGACTGAAGCAGCCTCTCCAACAGCCTGTCTCAGCCTATGTCTTAGTAGACTAAAGGGCTCAACTTGTTACCTCTCTTAAAGTGAGAAGAAGGAAGAGATCAAGAGTGAGAGAGAGGAGAGTTAAGAAGAAAGCAAACAGTAAAATGCTAGTCACGTGGAGAAACTACTTCAGGGACTGCAAAAAGACAGAAAGAGATTGGAAGTACTGCCAAGAAGGAAGTGGGAAGACTCCCCATCTACTTCCTCACCATTGAGTAAATCTGTCCTTCCTTAGAATCAACTGTAAGAAAGAGAATATACAAAAGGAACAAGTTTCAGAGAAAGCATCCTGGATTCTATCAGGGCAGAACGAAAAGCTGTAACTGTCCCATGTAGTTTCAGCTAGTTCACAGAGCAACATAGTGAAGCCTTCCTGGAGACATGCATAAAATAAAAAGTTATATTTCTTATTAAGAATCTCTCCATGAGTAGTTTCTAAATCAGAAACATTGGGTGGCGTGGGGAGGGTGTGACCAGCACTCTTTGTTTTAACATGTCCTCTAGGGGAAGTTAGGGAACCAATGGCTTGTATGCCTTTATCTCTCCCTCACATCTCTAGCATGAAAAGATAGTAAAGTCATATGAGAGTCCTTCCATTCAGACTTGTGAGATAAAATAACTACATACGTCCTGACTGCTAAAGTGAAAAATAAGAAAGTATGAAGATAAAGGCACCTAATGAAATATCTGTATGTATGTATGTATATATCTACTCTGTTCATTTATCAATAGTAAATTTCTAAAGGGATTATTGATAGTTACCTCTATGAATCCAAATCTATGGGGGCGGGAGAGAGAAAAGGAAATTTTATGTGTTTCTTTTGTAACATTTGCTTAAAAATCATTTCTTCTTTTTATACCTTCATATATTTTAAAACTTCACAGTTGATTCTGATCATCAACCAAAATTAGGAACGCTTGGAGAGAATTGGTTGTAAGTGTTTATTAGTTTAGTAGCCATTAAGTGACTGCTTGAACATTTGTCCTTTGACCTTGTGGATTTTCTCCCAAGCTGTTTCCTGTGGCTTCTTTTGAAGTCTTGCTCCAGAAAATGCATACATTCAAGATAGGTCCATCACTGGGGTGGTGCCGGTCTCCCAAGACCAGTCCTGGAGTCCTGTATTATAAGAGCTTCTCAAAGCCACTGCTCTAACAAGCCCAAGGTTCCCCTCACTCAGAATCAGCAGTGTGCATCCAGATTCGTGAAGAAGATGCTAGAAATGCAATATGGTTTACATGACTAAATTCAATTAACAAATATCAAAACCATTTGACTATGGGGGTCTAGCTTGCTTCTTCTACAGAGATCAACATGCCCTGTTAGTATCCAGGAAGGAAAATAAAATCCAAGAGCAGAACAAATCTATGACAGCACTCTATTAGACTATTCTTTCCATTCAGTTAGAAGCAGTAAGAGCTCCAGGCATAATTGTGAAGCACCTTAAACCTATCTGTCTAATTTCCACTTTCTAAGTCCCTCTCATCCTCCCACGATTGGGTGTTATGGTGGAAACTGAACACCCATGTCTTTACCCTGGAGTCCTCAAAACTAATTCTATTGGAGCCCCACCCATGCATGCCCACCATGAAGCATCTTCAAAATTACTTCTTCAGGATGCTCCTCCCAGTATCACAGTTATACCGTCTTCCTCCCTTCCCATCCAAACATTTAGTCCCTGTGCTAGCCAGCTTTTTGTCATTGTGACTAAAATACCCGACAAGAACAACTTAGAGAAGGAAAAGTTTGTTTTGGGCTCACAGTTTCAGAGGTTCAGTCCATCATGGCAACTCCATTGCGCTGGACCTAAAGTGATAGTGGAACATCATGGCAGAAGGGCATGTCAGAGGAAAGCTGCTCACTTCAAGGCAGGAGGGAAGCAGAAAGAGAACATATAATGACCAGGGATAAAATATAAACCCCAGAGGAACACACCTAGTGACCTACTTCTTTCAGCCATACCCCACCTGTCTACAGTTACCACCCAGTTAGTCCATTCAAATTATTAATCCAGTGAATGGATTAATCCACCAATTAAATTCAGTTCTCATAATCTAAACATTTCACCACCTGCACTAACACAGGAGCTTGCGGGGATACCTCATATCCAAGCCATAACAGTTCCTTAATATTTTAACTTTATTCAGGTGTAACTGAAGAAAGCAATTCCAGAAAGTCACCCTGAAGGCTCTATCAGTAGTTTTCAATATTATTATCCCAAATCCTCCAACTTACCTGAGATATCTGGCACATGGGAATACTAGGGGGAAAAGGGAACAGTTACGGACTATATCAGATTTCCCAGGAGGATTGTGTGATTTTAAAGAGTCCCCAGTTCTGATACATAGTCTTCAAGTGACTTCTTTTGAATTGATAGGCTTGACATAAATTTCATAGTTAATTCCCTTAAGGCTATCTATGTGTTAATAAAGAATTATTTAAGCCAAAATTGAATCTCTAATTATGGAATCACATGTAGATTGTTTGTAGGGAAGATATTTGGGGATAAGGATCCTTCCTGGGTCCCCCCAAATACATCACACCTTCAAATGATTAACTTGCTTAACATTAGGTTTGCTCCTTTTGCTCGAAACTTTGCTAAAGATTTGCTAATAATCTTACAGAACCTTCCCAGTAGGTCACTTGAAATTCCACTTATAAGACTGGTCTTGCTTAAAGTAAGGCAAGAGAGGAAAACTATGCAATCCATCACCTCTTGGTTCTTAATGGTATTGACTCTCAAAACCCAGAGGAATGCTAGCTTCCATAAGCTTCTCTCCACAGACTGATATTTTAAGTCTGGAATGCTAAGAACTAACAACCTTCATTTTGCCCTTGCGGACAGAACATTGGTAGCTGGTTTACCTGACCTACAATAGGCAGCTCTGTTTTTCTGTTGGAAAATTTGGAAACTAATGTGGAAAATGTAATGACAGCGGCCTCATAAAACAAAGAAATATCCACCCACCAATATTTTTTTTCAGAGCTCACGATATAACAAGTGCATTGTCTTCACTTTGAATCATCACTTTACCTTCCTTCTCTAGGACGCTTCAGAAAAACCCACATCTGGAACTCCCTAAAAATGATCTCTGCTCTCAAGACAGATCTGCTCATCATCCCTTAATCCAGACACCAAATATCTTCATCACCACAAAAACTGGAAATGACATTGCTATTACAAAAGCAAATGCCACCCCTATAAGTGAACTACAAAGACATTGTTTCCAGACAAATGTTTTGGTTTAGAACAATTGGACAGGGATGGTGTAGACTCATCCTTACCTAAAAATCTTCCCTAGAGTGAAAAGGTGATGATCTAAAACTCTAATCACATTTTAAAAAATGAAATTCACCACAGAAGCTAAACGCTAATGATTCCAGCCATTAAAATTCCAGTCTAAGATCTAAAAGGTGGATCTGAGGCCCTTTCACCAAGAAAAGCTGCAGCCATTTATTAGAAGCCCAAAGCCTCAGAGTGAAACCGGCTTAACATTCTGGTAACTGTGACTGAATCACCCAACAAGGACTTAACACACACCTTAAAGAAGTTTTGTTTGTTTGTTTTAGCAAGTCTTATTCATTATAAATAATAGAAGTCCACTTGAACCATCTTAAATAAAGAAGGGTTATTATAAGTCTATCTCATGGATCCCAAATTTAGGGAAAACAGGACTCATAAGGACAGAGTCAGATACACGATGATTCTCAAAATCTACATCACTGATTCTCTCCCCCTACATCTCTCTCTGTCTCTGTTTCTCTCTCCTCTCTCTCGCTCTCCCCTTCCCTCCCTTCTCCTTTTCTCTCTCCCCCTCCCTTGCTTTATCTCACTCTTTCCTCCCTTCCTTTTTCTTTCTGTCTCCTTTCCTCCCCATGGTTTCCATTTCTGCCTTTCTCTGAAGCTGTGCTTCTATCTTGCCTCTCAGCAGAAGCACCTTCTTGGCTTCTCCATGTATAAGCTATAAACTTGCAACTGGGCTTTTGGTCAGCATGGTCTGACTGAAGCCCAATTGCAAACTCTTGAGAAAGAACCAGAGAGACCCATCATGGTTGAGCACTCTGTGTACCAAGGGAGGTATGAAGGGACAGGTCTCATGGTACAGCATGGCTTCTGGGGCTCTACTACCTGAGAGCAGGGGTACATCTCCTAGAAAGAGAGTCATTTGGGCTGGGAAAAGAGTAGTTATTCCTCTTACTGAAAAACATTTTAGAATCTGAAGTTCAACAAATTGATGAGTAGAAAAACCATTAGCTTACCTTTGGGAATTTTTTCTCTCCATATTTGTTTCCATTAACTTGCAAACTTATATCTTCTAGTGTCCTTTCCTGGGAGAAAAAATACATACACACTAAAAAGATTGGTGCAGTAGAGAAATCAGTAGACTCGGGGGGCTCAGGAGACACAGGCTACACCAAGAACAGCAATAAGTAATCTCACATTATGCCAGAGTCTTTAAGGCCCCCTTCGTGTCTACTGTTCTACTTCTTTTGAGGCTGTAAGAAGTCTGTTCTTATAATAACTATGTGGGGGAAAGGACCCTCTAATTTGCAAGGTGCCTTTGGAGGAATATTGACTCAGGGGCAATATCAAGCAGATCTACATGTCTGGCTTTGTAGTTACTTCTTTGGAAATCTGGAGATCAGGATTCAGGGGGAAATTGCTTGTATATTGGCAGCTTCTTTCACTCTTTCTAACTATTTGGGTGCCAATTATGGAAGTCTCTAAAGGAATTAGAATATCAAAAGTGAGTTTAATTTACCTGATATTCAACAACAAAATTAGCCTCCGGGGCATTCAAACCACACTCCTGCTAAATTGGGCACTTCTTGTGTCACTTAAATTCCAATGTGCATTCAAAATAACAACCCCCAAAACAATGTACTAGGCCTTATTAAGCTCTGCTCTGGGGATTCATGCAAGAGTGATAGTGAAAGCGCATTAAGCATAGAAAGAGAGCATCTTGAGGCCTGCTGGCTCATTTCCTCTGATGGAAATCAATAAGCTTTTGACCACCACCAGCACTATCAAAAAGCAGATGCTCAGCAGATCAGCCACACCTTACATTTCGCATCCTTTCCCATTAGAACCGCTTCAGTATGGCTTTTGAATCAGGCCGGATCAATCAGATATAAAAGAAGATATGTCTTGTCTTCTCTAGCACAAATTTCCGCTTTAAAAGGAAAATGGGTTCCTATTTTGAAAAGCTGATAATAAATCAGGAAAGTGGTACATCCACTGTGCCAACCATACTTTTTTTCTTACGTATATTATACTTTGTTATTAAAGATACTTAAAAGAATCAATTAGGGATTTTTCAGTTAGAAATATTACTTTACAAGTGGCCTCTCACCCAACAAAATACTGTGATTGTGAGTGTGTGTGTGTGTGTGTGTGTATTCAATTTTAATGTACATAATGTATTGAGCACAAATACCTTACATATACTACGTGAGTAAATGAGCAATAAATATATGGTTCCCTTATTTTCCTGAGTTGAATTAAATATTCAATAAAAAAGGAGAGAAAGAAGTCTAGAAATATTTGGGAATTTGTTCCCAAGATTATAATATCACACTCAACTCAATTGTTCATTTCCCCCCATGGTCTCAAAGTGTTTTCACATTTATTATTGCTCTTTTACAATGTGGCATAAACAGTGCTAAAATAATTTTCAACTCCATCCTTAGTAGAAAAAATTAAGGCCCTCCCCCCAAAATAAAAGACTCCTCCAAATGTTCAGACCTTTCTCTTTTTATTTTTATTTACTCATTTGTTTTTATTTTTGTAGTACTAAGGATTGAACCCAGGACCTCACATATGCTAGGCAAGCACTCGACCATGGAGCCCAGATCTTTTTAATTTTATTTTGAGACAGGGTCTTACTAAGTTGCTGAGGCTGGCCTTGAACTTACAGTCTCCCCAATACCTAGAATTACAGGTATATGCCACCACATTCAGCTTCACATTTTCTGATTTTAATTAAAAGACTTGAATCAGAGTCTCTGACTCTGACTAATTGTCCAACTTGCAATACCTCGTTAGGAATTCTATACTAAACACCCTTATACAATAGGCTGTATGGTTTTTCTTAACGGACCTTATATTATTCAGATGGTAGGTCACTGGTGTCATACTAAACAAAAAATAATAGCCAGTTTGAATCTCTTTCTCATTCTCTCTTTCATCTCTCTCTAACACATACACTTTGTGTGTGTACACAAATGTAATACATACACACACACATATATATATATATATATACTAATTGCTAATATCCCAGAAATACCTAGGAGAAGAATTCCAGTTCTAAAAAATGCAAGACTAAACAAGATTTTACTATTGGCATGCCATTGATATTGCAACCCTTCTCAGGATTGGAACCCTCATGAGACACTCTGATGAAATCATACAGCCTGAGCAGATAATGCAGAATCTCAACAGTTTGAAAGGCAATAAAGTAATATCAAGACAATGAACAATTATCAGAGCTACTAATTGTGTTCAGGGGTCTTTTTGAGAACTTAGCAGGTCTGGAATAATGAGCAAGAGGCTGATTTTTCTCTGTAGTTTGCAACAGACTATTATTGTAATCATTTGAATTTTCTACACACCCATCACAGGGAATACAATTCAAAGCAGGATGCAGTATTGACATCATGTTCCCTGGAGATGCCATGTAACCACAAGTCTACCCATTGCCAAAGCCTGAATATCAAAATGGATAAGGCTTTCAGGAAGAACCTCCCCTTCCATTCATACTGCCCTATATAGCAGTGTCCATCAAAGACACACCTCTGTCCACAGGGAACCACTTTCTACACTTCTTGATCTTCCATGAACTGGCACACACCTATGAGCTTGGATTTGTTAAAAGACACTGGGAAGAGAGGGAATTTATTCTTGGCATTCAGCTATTCACCAGCCTCCTTCAGCCTCCTTCCCACTGTCATCTTCCTTATGGATGTGCCCCATACTGCCATTCCCTTCATTGTTTCTTTACAAGAGTCTGGTCAAAAATAAAAAATTAAATTATTTTCCCCCAAAAAAACATATATATATATATATATATATATATATATATATATATATATATATATGAGTCAGATCACATAAAAGGTCACATCACACCATAAATTTTTAAATAAAAAATAACACAGAGAGCTATTCTCTACAATTCCAAGTATTTCTTCTGCTTTTTACTTCGTATTTTTAGTTGCTCATTTTCTTCTTCCATTTATTTATTTAGGCAGCACCAGGGTTTGAACCCACAACCTCGTGCATGCTAGGCAAGAACTTTACAACTGAGCTACATTCCCAACCCTTGCTTCATATTTCTAGATAATTTTCTTTTATCATTTTTTGTTTGTTTTTCTCCTTCATATTTGACCTATTATCATCCTATTGGAAAGGATAGAATTTAACTCTCTTACATAAACCCCTACCTGTGTGTATGTATGCACACATATTTCCCATTCTCTCAATATAAGGATTCTGATTAAATCAACCTTCAGTATTTACATTATTATAATCATATAAAGATCATCCACAGATAAGACATGTAAGTACAGTTTAGTTGTATTTTCTTTCTTACAAAACTTTTGTTTCTATAGAGTTACTAATGGTTACTATTTTGGTTTTCTGTGTGTCTTTCACTATTCCATAATCGGCTCTGTGACAGTTATAAAATTCTTAATTAATCAAACACATCAGATAGTCCATAAATAAGTTCCTCCCTCCCCATATTGGACCAACTCCTTGAAAAGCCTCCTCCTGTCTTGCTCCAACTTGGACCATTTGCTCCTACACCTGCTGTACAACTGCCATCCTGGGACTTCCAATTGCCATCATGCTGGAAGTACTACTCTATTTTCCTCTGTGATGATTCCCATTTTTTTCTGAATCCATCTTCCTATTCTCATTTTTATTCCCACATTTTGGTGGAACATGTTTTCTAGTAAATAGCTCAGAAAGGTTGACTTGGGAGGTAGATGTCACATGCATGTCAACATATTTTTGTCAGCCGGGTGCCGTGGTGCAAGTCTGTAATCCCAGCAACTCAGGAGGCTGAGACAGGAGCATCTTGAGTTTAAAACCAGCCTCAGCAAAAGTGAGGTGCTAAACAATTCAGTGAGACCCTGTCTCTAAATAAAATACAAAATAGAGCTGGGGATGTGGCTCAGTGATTGAGTGCCTCTGAGTTCATGAGGAAATCTAATCTGGAAATAACTTTTGCACATGGTGCAGCAATTTGAAAGGATTGCTCCTTTTTTTTTTTCTAGTTTCCAATGTTGTTATTGAGAGATTTGAATAATTCTAATTCCCAGTTCTTTGTGGGACTATTTTTCCTCCCCCTCTCTGGAAATTCTAGATTTTTCTATTTAACCCCGACAGGTTCACAAATGTAACAATGGTGCAGGATTTATTTTTGCATTCATTTTTTAAACATTTTGCAGTCAAAGTTGTGGGCACTTGGTAGACACTTTCAACCCATAGACCTATTTTTTTCAGTTCTGGAAAGTTTTCTTATATTACTTTTCTTTTTATAATCCCCCTTTCCTCTTCATTTTCTCTATTCTCTCCTTATGAATTTTTTTTTTTTTTGGTTGAGGATGGATCTTCTGGGTGGATCCTCGGATCCTCTAATCATGTTATCTTTGCCTTCCCATTTTTTTTCTCACTTCTTTTTCTTCAACTTTATCTTCTAATCCTTATTTGAATGTTTTCCTGATTTTATATATATATCGAACCCAGTGCCGCCTCATGCATGCTAGGCAAGAGCTCTAGCCCTGAGCCACAACCCCAGCCCCTATATTTTTAATTTGCAAACAATTTTCCTTTCCTTTGCATGTTTCATGGTAAAACTTTTTCCTTTCATTTTTCTGAGAAATTTCTTTCCTGAAATTTTCTATTTGCTGCATTATCTTTTTATTTTTTATTTTTTTAATATTTGTCGGAGTTACCATTTAGCGGGGTGCTGGGAATTGAACCCAAGGCCTTGTGTATGCAAGGCAAGCACTCTGCCAACTGAGCTATATCCCCAGCCCCACAGATTTAGCCTCTTATTCGACATTAGAAGCATCTCATGATCTTTTATTCACTGTTCATATTTCAACAAGGCACCAGAGAGCTGATCAAAAGAATTTGGGTTTGATAACTGGTGGCTTTTACTATAGGACCAGGAATATTTATAGGGTAATAAAATGCCAGTTCCTATAGGTCTTCTTTGCTAAACCAGTCAGATTTCCCAGAGAATAATCCCTCCACTTGTTGTCTGGGTGCAAGGTTCTATGTGCCATGTAAGGGAAGAAAACTGGAGTTCACACTCCTCA